CAGGTATAAATTATTTCAGCAAAAGATTTTGCAAAGGCAGAGGAGGGACTCGCCATGTGGAGCAGCTCTGTTGGAGGAGACATAGACACCTCAGATGACCTCGCTGTCCCCTTGGAAGCTGAGACACGTTTTCTGAGACAAGAGTTGCTGAACGCTGCATCTGGGAATCTCARACATCTCCTTGCAGAGCAAACAGTTTCCAGCAGATGGAAGAGGACAGGGACTCACTGCGAGAAATAATGACACATCCATTAAGGAATCAGCTCTAGGAACGCCTCAGAAGCTTAATGCAGTGACAAACAGCAGTGCTTTTTAGAGCACTTTATTATTATTATTATTTTGATATGTTCATGGTCTTTTCCTAGCCTTCACATTCTGGCATGACTAGATTTAGGTTCAATGCATATATAGAAAGAGCCCAAGCACCTCTAGGTGCTTTCTGTGATTTCAGCCTTCCTCCACTGTGGACAACCAGCTATTCCCAGGAGGCCTCTGCCCAAGACCAGTTGTCACGGAGACCTTGTGAGATTAACTGGGTTAGTCATAGAGAGCCACAGGCTAAGGAGACGAGAGGACGCGGCGGCTGAGAGATATTTATCATCCTCACTCTGTGGTTTTCACCACCTTGCCTCCTCACAGCTTTTCAATGCCTTTATTCTCCCTGTCTTTGGGAGAAAGGCAGTTTCTCCCTGTTTGTCATGTAGGACAGTTGATGGGCAGAAAGAAGCCAGACAGAGATATTTCCATTGCCTGGGGAGCYCCCATGAAATTTGCCCTCAAGGTCTATAAAAATTCTGCAGCCCTCCTAAACAGACTCCCCATCTTTGCTGCTCCAGGGACGTACCTCTTGCCCAGGGTTTCTTCTTCATTGGAAGAAACCTCTACCTGCTCTCCAGGCTGGAGTTTTCATTTTGCTTAAGCTCCCAATCCGCTTGGAGTGGGAATTCTTGGGCGGGGGAGCTATGAGCTGCAGGCAGAGGAGTTGCCTATCCGCAGCCAGATGCATAATTGTGGTGAAGGGGAATTACTTAAAAGACGAAAGCAATTCTACCTCTCCCTCAAACTAAGTGGCTGGGTATGCCGTGTAAGCCAAGGCCATAAGCAAGGGAAATGTGAGCCCACAGCTGGCTCTTAAACCAAGAACTGCTGTGACTTTCCTTGCTGTATCTCATCTCCCTTTGCACTTGCAGCCCTCTGATCTCCAGCTGTATCTGATACTTCAGATTTGCTCATTTCTGAAGCATCTCAAATCTTGAGATTATGTCTCATCTCAAACCACTAACGATGGAGAGAAGTGTGCACAGCCAAGAAACAGCTCAACCTGGRAGAAAACACAGACCTTTTTCAAGAAAACCTTAGACTCGGTTCATCCACATTCCAGCTAAGTGAGCTGCAGTCACATTTCTGAATTTTCCTTCCTAGGGGAGTTGTTTCATCCAGTGTAAATGCTTTTTTTGCAAAATTTGCGAAACAGCTGCAGTTAATAGAAGGTGAAAACATAAAAGAGCTAAGGTTTGTCCAAACGAAGGAATCYCCATGCTTTCCATGAGCCACCATGGAAGTTAAACAATAGAAGATAGGAACATGCATGGACCAGTCAGACTTACAAACAAGTTATTTACTAAATACTGCACTTACCGACATATGAGAGAGAAACAGGGAAAAAGAAATGCATGAGAAAAGGTAGACTGGCAGATACTAGTGTCTCACAACAGAATATTTTTGTGATGGACTCTCCGTTATGTGCACACTGTCTACTGGTAAGAATGTATATTGAAAATAAATGAGTTATATTGTGGCCACTGCAAATAAATAGGCATCCAGCAATGAAGGCATAGCAGACACAAGCTGCATTATTGTGTTACTGCTGAAATGAATTGGATGTGTGAGGAAGCACACACTATACATTCCATTTAGCAAATGACCTGACAGGAAGAAAGCACTAACACCAAAACACAGCCCACTGCCATCCTCTTGAGAATACCCAGCATGACGTGGCTACTGGCTAACGTCCTCAGCAAGGTGGCAGCGAGATACCCCAGTCCCCTGCTGCTCRTGGCCTCCATCACTCAAATTATCCCCTTAGTCGTTCCTCCTTTCACACCACGGGGTCGAAGAGTTTTGTTAGCCTCATATCCCATGTTGTAGCAGACACTTAAAGTGCTATCCACAAGAAAATACCCTGCAGCCCATTGCAAGCCATTCCTCCCAGGCTGGGACAGCAAAGGACCGTGATCCAAGACAAGGTGTCCAGGAAAAAAGAGGCTTTGCTCTGGCACAACCACAGAGATACCCAGGAAATTCAGGCTTAACATCAGCAGTGGAATGGGATGCCCTTAATGCCACCAGGCTGCTCACGCAGCGTGAGCTCAGCTCCTCTAGAAAACTGCCATCTCTGAGGTCATTTTTCAACAGAGGCCTCCTGGGAGGAGCGATGCACACACAAAGAGGGAGATTTCCTTGGCTGCTGCTGCTGCTGGCAGACCCAGGGAACGGGTTTGCTAAAATGTGTTCTGCCAATTTGCTGTTGTGGCTCTGCCTACAGCAGCGGGCTGCGCTTTCTTGCCTGCTGTTCAATGCATTGCAATGCAAGCAGAGGAGATCAGCACACACTCTGCTAAATCCTTGCCATGCCCTTTGGATGACTCTTTGCAGCAAAGCTGAGGGGCTGCACTCCTCGAGGCAGACCCTGATACAGGTTACCGTTGCTGGCAAGACGCTATGAGAAGAGGAGGAAGAGAGAGACGAAGGAAAGCACAATGCAGAAATAGATGGTTTACAGGGACACAGAGAAGTGGAGGAGGAGGCGGGTAAAGTCGTGTCTTCCTGTGTGTCAAGAGCTCCCATTGCAGCTCCCACTCGCCCACCCTGGGGACACAATGAACTCGTCTACACCACAAGTGACAACCAACCAGCAGGCAATATTACACCACGTTCTTCAGTAGTACTTGATAGCAGAACTAAGTGCTTTTGATGGAGCTTCCCAGTGCAACACCCCTGTCTTTTCTGCTCCCAGATGCATTACTTTGGCGAGTATAAAATGAGAGATGAGAGTCCTTCAGCAGGATGCCATGTTATAAAACTGCTCTGAGATTTACTTCACGTTCCCTAACGGGATGGTAAATAAATCAGGCTTCATTGATGGTACTTTGCCTCTTTGCCAACTAGCCATGCCGTGGAATAGAGGGGCTGGGATTGCAACAAGTCCTTGATGATTAAACACAAAATTCATCCAGAAATCAAGGTTCTCATTCAACATGGAGGCAATCCAAAGGCTTTTACATCATGATTCCCTGGGGAAGACCTATACAGCTTTCACACAGACACTTTTTGCTGCTTGCTGTCTCTGAGAGGTAAAGTCTAGGTGGAGACCAGGACAGTTGAGTTGCTTGTTGAGTGCTGCTCCTTGTAGTTTGCTAATGCAAGGGAATGCCTGGAGTCTGAACAACTAAAACATCTCTATCTATTGCATGGTACAAGATTGAGAAACTGCAGGCAGGATTCCTCCTTCTCCCCACTCCCTTGCTACGGTGAGGGGAAGGTCTGTCCTTCTTTCCTTGTTCCCCCAACTCCTCTGTCCCCTGAACTCTTACATCTGTTTCTCCTCTTCCACTCCATTCTCCATTATGTGGACATTATCTACTGTCCTTAGTCATACATGGCTATTCTTTGGCAGCCTGTTCTTTAAACATCTTTCTTGATACCCTGAGTGACCCCAGCTTTTCTCAGCTTCTGCCAAGCAGAAGGAAAGGAGCAGCCTGCTTGGCTGGGCAGGATGAGGGAGGCAGGGGCATGCACAGACCATAGCAGAGACATAGAATGAAACGTTCCTACTCCAACCTTTAAAAAGAGGACAGTCCATCCAGTGGCAATGAYTTTGTAGCATGAGTCAGATGGGGTTATAAGATCTAGAAGCAGCAGAGACACAGAATATTTCCTCTTCCTAGAGACAGATCAAAATCCTGACTCCTCGATTACTGAACCTCCCAACCTGCTGAATCAGCAAAAGAAGGACCGCCCAGCACAGCCCAAAGCCCAGGCTTAGACAGACCCAGGGCGCACGGGCAGCTTGGCGGGGCAGGGACCAAGCTGCAAGCCTGGGGAGCACAGACGCCTTTGCAGGGTCCCCCCCTGCGCCCCTTCCCCAGCAGGGCACTGTCAGCACCCAGCCCGCCGCACGTGGGGCCACGCCACTCGCTGCCACCGCCACTGCGCTCCCAGCACCACAGCCTGCCATTACTTCTTCCAGGCAAGCTATTTTTGACTCTCATTTTTACACAGGGACTTTCTCCAGCGTGCACTGTCACCAGGATGCCACCCAGAACCATACAGCTTCCCASAGGCGCTCCGGCTGCCCGGCTCGCTCCACCTCCCTGCCCACCTGGCACCAGAGCAGAGCCTGATTTCTTTTTGCTTTTCCTTCACTCTCGCTCTACCACAGCACCAGGGAAGGACTCAAAAAGGATCCAGCAGACTGGGATAGATGACTACGAGGAACAAGCAGAAATATGAGCAACAAGCAGAAATATCTCCCAGTTCAATCATAAGCCACAATTTCAACACAGCTACAGACATCCTGGGAGATACCACTGGAGAAGGACAGAGCTYAGCTCATCCCCAAAGCACCTGCATTTCTCACCGGCCTCTATCCATCCATCTCCTTAGTTGGCTGATACTCACTGACCAGAGCAAGAGACTGTCACTCTGCCTCTTTTGCTCAGTGCTTCAGCAGGACCCATGGGACACCCTGGGTGATACCAAGCCACCTCCTAGGAAAATGGGCCTGGCAGAGACTGCTCCTGCACACAAAGGACTCAAGCACCAAACTTCATCTCAGCAGGCTGCTTCTTCCATCTCTGCCCTGCCAGAGCCAACAGACACCATCCACTCATGGCACCATGCCCATGCAGCTTGGCCAGGGACCTCCTTGGTCCTGCAACACTGCTGCTGTCTGTACACCCAGAGAAGAGAACAGGAGCAGGAGCTCTGCTTATACTCACAGTTTTGAAGTCCTCATGGCTACACTCTTGGCCTTTGAATTTGCAGTAGAGCATCATATCCTTGAGATCATGACCAACCCGTGCGAGGAACTCCTGCATGCTGAAAACTTTCGGTTTGTATTGCTTAAAGTTGGCCTTTTCCTGGAGAATGGCTAAGACAGCTGGGTCAGCCAGGTGAGGGTTGGGGATCTGCAGGTTGACATCAAGCAAAGCCAGGAGCTCTCCAGCATGGTACAGGTCATTTGTAGTGAGCCGGGAGAAGCGAAACTCGTTGAGATTACAGATGGTGACAGCGGGGAAGACCAGGCTATTTGCCACCACCTCGTCCACTTTGGTCACGTGCTGATAGGAGAAGTAGAAAGCCACCCGGTCTGAGCTCTCCACCAGGAGCAGACCCAGTGAGCCCACAAAAGCCAAGGTCCAGAGCAGGCGCCGGATGGTCACCGGCCCGTAGACGAAGACGTGACGGATCCCATGGAGCGTGGAGGTATTAGCAAAAATCTGAATGCTGGAAGGCTGCAGGCTGCCCATGCTGCCCTCGCTGGTGCTGTCCTTCAGATCCATGAGGGCTGGAGTTGGTTAAATCCTGGTAGTGCTTTAGGGATCAGTCTCCGGCAAGCACCAGTCTCCGGCTCTCTCCCCTCCCCTCCCTTCCCCTGTTGGAAGTAATTAAACCTTTGCAGGAGAGGGAGAGAGACGGAGAGGCTCAGGCAAGCTGCTGCAAGCTTATCCTACAAGCTCAGCAGCATCTCTGTGGGGGTAAATATTGATATAAAATCCATTCAAACTCCAGCTCTTGATTTCCTCGGTGCGATAAGAAGGGCTGGTTTTATTTAGGGAGACACCAAGGTGATGTGGAAGAGCTGTGGGTGGGAAGCGAGCGCTCAGCCAATGGAAGGGAGGTCCTCCCCCTGCACACACACACACACATGCACGCACACGCGCCCGCCAAGCCGAGAGGAGATTAAGAGGGAGAGCTTAAAACAAGTGGAGGCAGCTTGCAGCCTGGGAACTAGTGCATAAAGCGCAAGGATTCCGCTTCCCCGGGCTGATGGATTGYGGAGCGGTGGGGCTCACTGACCGGCTGGGCAGTTTTCCTCTTGCTCCAATGCTGCAAGCTGCTGATTCAGACGTTCCTCCTCCTTCCTGCCCCTCCATCCCCCTATGTTTTTGCGGAGAGGACAGGCAGGCTCCAAAAACACCACCAGAAAAATGCACCTTGTGCTKYCAGGGTTGCTTCTGAGCAGCTGGACAGACCATTTAGGAGAAGGATGTGAGAGAAGTAAGAGAGGAGAAACGGGGRGGGAAAGGACAAAAAAAAAAAAAAAAAAAAAAGAGGAGAAAAATTGCAGCTCAGCTCCATGCGTGCCCATACAGAGCAGGTAAGCAGCTGGGCAGAAAGCACCGAAGCAGCAGGGTCAGAGAGGGCTGCAGCCAGCAGCTCTTGTAGCCTCTAGGCTCACTCCATGGACGGACCAGGACTCAAAAGCCTGTGGTCTGTCAGCATCTCCAGGGGTTCGATTTGCCTCTAAACAGCAGCTGCGAAGGGATTTGCTTGTGGCAAGTAAGATGTGAGCTCACCTGGGAGGCTTGGAGCTGGATGGAGGAGCAATTATGGAAGGTTTCCTGCCCAACAGATACCTCCAAATCCTCCCGTGAGCTCTCTGTGCATGGCAGCATCCTCCCTGGAAGTTACTGGAGAAGGGACCAGTGCTGCACAACACGCTGTTCATGTTCGGTAGGGTCTAGGGCTAACTCTCCACCTTGTCTCTGTGTGTGTTATTACCATTGCCTGTTTTTSCTTTGATCTTGAAGGAAACAGCAGCTCTGCACACTTAGCCCAAGGGCAGCTGGGGGGAGTCCTTAGGCCATGTCGCACCCAGCACATGCTTTTGCCATGGGGATGATTGGGACCGTCATCCCAAAACACAGGAAGAGGCTGAAACACCATCTGGAGAGGGATACCYAGCGCTCAGCCCCAGCAAAAACCCTGCATTACGTCCCCACAAGGTCAGGCCCGAAGATGATCAAGGACAGCATCAGAAAAAGGAGTGCATTTTTTTACTTTCCAACCCCAAGTGCTGCTACTACAGCCCCGAAAGAGCCTCGACACCCCATCCAGCCACCCTTCCTCCCAAAGCCACAAGCGAGACAGTGACGCCTCCAATCCCAGCATTCATCCTCATCTCCCAGCAAGAACGAGTCACATCTCGACGGATGGCAAGCTGCAGTGAGAGGCTTTCTTGGACTGCAGATGAGCTCGCATCCTTTCCACACTACTGAGGTACTTGCTGCTTTTGCTGCTTGAGAAAGAGGATTTGCTCCTGGCAGCTGATGGCAAGCTCAGCCAAAAGTGGCATGTGCCAGCACGCTGCTCATCCCAGTGCTGCACATTATTCTCTCCATTCTACACTAGGGAAACTGAGGCAGGATGAGACTAAAAGACTTGGGTGGGAGCTGCCACACTGAGTTGGTTCCCTCCTTGTAGAACTTAACCATCCACCTTGATGAAGAAGACATCTCCTCTAGGAGCCTAAGAGCCTCTAAGAGGCTCTATCTCCTCCTCTAAGAGCCTAAGATGGAGTTTATCTCAATCCTTGCAGGTCCTTGGAAGGAGTCCTTGCTTCACGAGTGGCTCTAGGGCCCCAAATCAAGTAGCAGTGGCTTGTCATGGGGATGACCACTTTGCCATGTCCTTTCCAGAAAGGATGGAGAAGGCAGGTCCAAGCAGACCCAAGGAACGTGTAGACCAGAATTATGAGAGCTTAGGGCAGAGTGCCATGTAAGCTGCACTCCTGAGCTACAGACCTCGCTGCCTGCTCTTCCCAGGGCATGGAGGGGAGCATTGCCCCTCGACAACATATTTCTGGCAAGAATGGACTTCCATCCCCCACTCTCCACCAAGCTGTCTGCAGATCTCTTCCCTACCCAACTCCGTCTGTGTTATTGGCCTGATGCACTAATGCTTTCATTTATTCACCACGCACGCTGCCTTTACAATCCTGTTTTCTGTAATTCATACCATATACCATCTGCTGCCTTTTATTATTTAACTATGTGAAGTGCTCTGGGTATCGTCTGCAAGAAAAAGCTCCTTGCTCAGCAGTGCTTGGCGGCCCTGTGCGCACTCAGGGGGTTCTTCCTCGCTGCTCATGGGCTCCATTAGGGATCTGGGAGGCTTGATGGGATTTTCTCAGTGTCCTAACCCTGGAAGATGCACCAGTGAGATGGATGATACCCAGTGAACACCCTGCATGCAGCCTGTGGCCTTGGCATCAGGTTGTGCTTGGGGCTGGCATTGTCCAGGGTGTCCCCAGACCCTAGGAGAAGAGGCCGGATGATGCTTGCAGGTGACACGGGAGGAGGAACATACCAAGGCGCATTCATACCATTCTGCATGCATGTGTGCATGCACCGCTGCAGTGGCAGGGAATTATGTCCTCCCCGTTATCCCATGGAACCCTCTGGGTTTGCAGAGGAACCCATGGTTTGCATGGAACCCTCTGGGTTTGCAGAGCACAACCAAGAAGACCTGTACTCCAGGGGTGCTCCAGGAGGGGATGACAGGGAAACGCACAGCTGGCCCCACTGTCACAGTTGGTTCTGCAGCCAGGCAGGACCAGAAGACACATCCCTCTCCGAAACCTCTTTTCCTTCTCTAGTCAGAGCAAGGAGGGCAGGGATGGCATGATGGAGATAGGTGAGCAGCAGGTCCAGGGGTGTTTGAGGGACACAGGCAGCAGAATCTCATCCCTCTCCCATTGCATGTTCTGCGCCTGCCCTCTTGTGTCCCAAGCACATGTTGCAGTGCTCAGGGAGAGGATTACCTGCTATAAAACCAAGGGAAATTGTTTTATTTAGACAAGGAGAGGAGACACAGAGGGGGCCCCCACATCTTCTTGCAAGAGGTTCATGCTTCTATGGGACTCACTCTGTTTCTCAGCCTTACCTGCCTTTTTGGATCCTCTCACCACCTGACTGCTTGGTGTCAAAGGCCTTAAGCTGATGGGAGCCCATCGGTCTATTAGGAAGCTCAGTGGCTTAAATGAGTCTTCCTTCCAAATGGGAGCCCAACGTTGCCTGCTGAGGTTTCCCCTGATATTAAATCCAATCCCTTCCAAAGTAGCCTTGGCTCATTAAAACGGCTTTTAAAAAATACAGGGATATAGTTGAATTTTTTATTGGATTTCAATGTACTTAATATTGTGCCTGGATTTATTATAAGGTATGAAATAAAAGCAATTAGAGGGCAGAAAGTCTCCTTGAAATAAAACCAAAAAACTCAGGTGGCTTCACTTAGGAAAGACTCTAGAGGAAAGTGCTTGAGGACAATGTGATGCTTCATTTTGATCTCCCCATGCCCTCCTCCAGAAAGAAAGTATTGACACAAATATATTTTTTTCCCCAGGGAATGCGTCAGTGCCAGGAAAGCATTTAGGAGTGGAAAAAAAATATTTTGGAAGATTGCCCCACCAGCTCTGCCAACCACCACCCAGCAGTGAGGACTCTCTGGGGTATCTTCCCCGTCCTCCACCCGCAGAAAGTTGACACCAAACAGCTCAGTGCTGGGAAGGACGAGCATCCAGCCCCGAAATGTGCTCGGYGATGGGAGCTAGGGCTGAGTGCGGCTGCTCAGCGGCTTCCCCGGGGCACTGAGATCACGCACGACCCAAAATCACCTGGAGCCAACGGAGTTACAGCTAGAGATTTTATTACCCGAAGATAATATTGGATTTACAGTAGGGATTTTTTTCCCAGTAACAGACTTCTCTTCCGCTCACTCCCAACTCCCCAGCTACCCCATTTTCCTGACTTCTTATACAAAAAAATGGCAGAAATGGTACCTCTATTTTGTCTCTTGGGCTTAGAGATYTGGGGAAGAAAAATGTAATCTAAGAGCTACCTTTTCCTCTGGTGGCTCTCCTTTTAAATAACTGGCTAATTTAGTCCTTGAAACTGTACTTGTTCCCCGTGTTAAACTTTACATGGTTTTATTTTGATCTAGYTGCTTTAGTTCTGCCTGATGGTCTCACTTCTGGAAAAGTCTATAAAAGCACTTTKAATCTTTCATGAATAATTCACTCTGAAGAACCATTCCAGGCCCTTCTCTCTGGGAAACACTAGGCATTTGTTCTTGTCAACGCATGAAAAAGGCCTCAAAAAGAAATCACTGAAACCCTTTTCTCCCCGATTTTTTGCTTGAGAGGTCTTCATCATCTTTTATTTCTTTTTAACTTCTGCTTCAGCTCCATTGGTGCTCCTGCAGCCTCTGTGCGCAGCTGGCCCCCTGGGCCCTTCAGGCTTTCACACAGCCTCCCTGGGCCTCCGTTCGCAAGTGGCCCTGGAGGCCCTGCAGGCTTTTCTGTGGCCTCCTCTGGCCTCCATGCGCAGCTGGCCCACTGGTCCATCAGCCTTTTGTGTGGCCACCCCGGGCCTCTGTGTGCACGTGGCCCCAGGGATCCTGCAGGCTTTTGTGTGGTCTCCCYGGACCTCTGTGTGCACATGGCCCCCCGGGGCCCTGCGGGGTTTTGTGCGGCCTCCCTGGGCCTCTGTGCCCAGTTGGCCCCCCAGGCCCTGCGGGCTTTCGTGTGGCCTCCCCAGGGCCACA